ATCGTGTGTGGAACCTCACAGTTCGAGTCAACCGAGGCGTTGTCTCTAGCTGCGCGGGCCCACCACACAGAGCACTGACAGATAAGGCTGAGCATGAGATGTGCATTCGTGGATGAAGGATTATGGATCTGGGTGGGCTCCTGGGTCACTTCGGAGGCCTTTTCGATGCTTTTCGGCTTCCTTGTCCAGGGTTCTGCGTCCAACTGGTGGCGCCTGGGGTGTCCATCGCACTGCAACGGCTCTGTGATGGTTCTCCTCCTCACGTTCCTCCGTGGACTTTCTCTTGGACTTTTTCTGGGCCTCTGCCCCAGGCTTCCTCTGCCACCGCAGTTCGGCCTGGTTCACTTCGCTTTCGAGGCTATTTGCCTGACCAGGCGCGGCCTCTCGGATACCATCCGTTCTGTGGTTACCGCTCTCCGAAGGGTTCTTGAGGAGCTTGAGGAATCCAAGCCCTGAGTGGGAGGTCGTTCCCTCCAGCCTTTTGGGCCCTGCATCTGGAAACGCCCCTAATCTGCCGGTGGTGCGGCGTAACTTCACTGCACGGCGTTCCTCTGCTCGGGTCCTTCCAGCCCAGCCCTTGGTGACCCACTGCCTAGTGACGGCCTTTTCTTTGTTGCTTCGCTTCAGGTTGTGGATCGGGCCCCTCGTGCCAGGGCGTTTGGGAAGCAGGCTTACAAGCCGGTGTTGTGCTCAGAGGTGAACAAGATTACCCGAACGCATCCCTTCACCTTCCCGTACGGAGCAAAAGCTGCGTGGTCTCGCGCTGCCGTGGTGATCATACTATCCGTTACTTCACGTCTTTTGCCCGCATCAAACAGTTTACAGGGACCCTGCAGGGCAGTGATTAGTGATAGCTCCTGCCACGGCTCTCCATGACTCTCCCACCGAAGGGAGAGCCGGCTATTTGTTCGAGCAGCAGGCTGTGTCTTCCCTGATCGGCAGTCATGGATATGAGAAAGGAGTGCTTGGATTCGCCTTTGGATGCCGGCTGTTTGCCTCTCGAGTGGCCCGGTCCCGCCCAGGTCGTGCATGATGACGACGCTTTGATTCGAGAAGGTGGCTTCCTGGCGGCGGTGCTTGTGGGCTTGTTCGAAGCATCACTCCTGGATGCTTGCAGTCCCGACTCGGCGCTGGGTCCCTCCTTCGAGGCAAGTGTGGCCATGGCAGAGGAGGAGGAAGACGGTCATTTTGCGGCCACAGAAGAGAGCACTACGGCGCTCCTGATCGACGTGCCGAGGTCTTTTTCTGCATCTCTCGGTACGATCCTGTGAGCCCTCCTCGAAGCAGCGTCCTTTGTGAGCGGCGCGACCAATGCCCAGCTTATGGAGCAGCTCGAGTCGGTCCTCATTCTACTTCAGAATCTTGCCGCAGATCGTGGCAGCAGACCGTTAGGAGGTGTTGGAACAAAGCCCCCGCCGGCCCCCGCACCACGGCCCCCTGCTTCCTCAAGCCAGGCGCCCTTGCGCAGGCGTTTCCCATGAATGCCAAGAGGTTCGGAGGGTGGCTCCGCTCGCTGTGTCTGCCAAAGCTGTATGCCACGATAGCAACGAGGGTAGGAAGGCTGTGGTTTCGGCCGATGCCCCTGACAGAGTTGCTTCTCTCGCCTGGCGTCCACGAAGTTGCTGTCGCGGGCCCAGGCCGTCTACCTGGCTTTTTGTCCGCGCTACGATCTGTCTGAGCCTCCCACTCGTCGCTGGCTTATTCATCTTCTCGAAGCTGACCGCCTTGGACTTTGATGCTGCCAGGGCCTACGCCGTGGCCTCTTGCTTCGTACCGCCTGCCGGGTCGGGCCTGCTGAGTCTGAGTTGTCTTCTCAACAGGCCTGCGTTCGGAACGGCGAGACTAAAGCCAGAACCAAGGCCAAGCCAGCCCAGAAGCAAACAAATCCTGAAAGGAACTGGCAGGGATGGGCTTTCGCGAAGAAATCCAAGGGGGAGTCGAAGTCCAGGGTGGGCGGGCGGTAAGGAGAGCAGGCAGGTAGCGAAGCGCCCGGTTATAGACCAGCCCGCCGCCGGAGCCGGGACGCGAGCCCTTCCAGGCGCGTGCGATCAACAAGGCGGCGGCCCGGAACCGGGGACCCGGGGAGGAATCGGAGCTGCGCGCGACGGGTAGCCAGCGGGCCCGGTAAGGAGGGCGCCACAAAGACCAAAGCCAGGGAGATTGCCGATATCTGCTGCTGCTCAGACAACGATGGGGATCTTCCCTTCGAGATCGAGCACCGCGCCACCGTGGAATTTGTCAAGGAAAAAGCGGACTTGACAGCGAGACCGGGTTTTGGATCACGCAGAGGCGCTTGAAGGCGATCGTTTCTAGCACGTTTATATGGCAGCGGCGTTACTCACAAGAGGACTTTCAAGCCCTGAAGTTCAGAGCCCTTACGTCATTTAGCCGGAGAAAACCTCGGCAGTCGCTTCAAGACGCTGCAGAAAAGGTCGCGAGGAGGCACCGGGCTCGCGGAGCAATTCTACTCCAGGTGGGGTAGTGTTCAAATCCGAGCCGATGGCCCGGAGCCATCCGCAATCTTTGGCGTAACGATTTGAAGAACACCCCTCCGGGCGGGAAGGGAGCGCAGTCACCTTTGAGTTGCCGGCCGGAATAGGTGATCACGCATGAGGGACACACTTTGGAGAATGTTTTTGGAGTGGGCGCTGGATCAGGGTATCCCGCTCGACTTCTGGAGTCGTGCGGGATCCCCGCTATGATGCTGACGGCGTTAATGCAATCCTGGCCCGACACGGCCGAGCCCTTTACCAGGCCGCGAAACCCTACAGTCAGGTGATGCCATGGCAGGTCCTCCTTTATTTCTTAAAGACTGCGCCGCTCTGGGGATGGGTCGCGGTCGAGGTGGCCGGTGCTTTGGCGTTAACGTGGGGCGGGCTGGCCCACAGTGGCGGCGAGGGGTCTTTGCTACGGTGAGAGACTGCTGACGTCAGTGAAGGAGCCCAAAACACGCTTCACGGCTGCCCGGCGCCAGGCCGTCAGGGTCGATCAGCCACATCTGATGAAAGTCATCGAGCTCGCTTTCAAGGACAAGGTCCCGATGCAAAAGCTGTGTCCCACGTCCCCTGGGACTTTTCGACAAAGGTTTGGTAAGATCGCTGCGACCTTCGTTCTGGACAAGATCCCAGGCTACAGACCTCTGGACCTTGGCTCCCTTGCAGGCCGGGGTTGCAACATGGTTATTACAAACAACAGAAAATGGGGATCTAGTACGGAGGAGGGGAAGATGGCTCAGTCAGCGGGTTATGGAGATCTACGTGCAGGAGGTCCCTTCGGTCCTTTTCCTGTCCCGACTGCCCTCCTCCTTGTCAGAGTGCACACTCGAGACAATGCGTTTTTTTCCGGACAGGCTCGCTGCCGCAGAAGGCTGTCACCGGAGTGGATATCCGGCGGCCGGCGACAACTTGGTTCACTTTGGTTTCTTTAACTGCCTCTGGTCGAGCTTGTAGCCTGGCTTGGACGGGATAGATGAGTGAAGAGTTACTTTGCGGAACGCGCTTTGTGACACTTGTCTTGAGGACCGGCCAACAGAGGAAGCCTGAAGAAAACAACAGTAACCAAAATTAATTTACTTCGGACTTGGAACATCTCCACCCTACAGATAATGCATCTAGGTGCCACACCGCTGACTGGCGTTACGGTCGCGGGGTCCCCGGTCACGCAACAAAACACAGGTGTTCGGTTCAGGTCATTCGACGACCATGGGGTCACACCACCGACTGGCGACACGGACGTGGGGTCCCCGTACACGTAACAAAAGACATGTTCGATTCAGGTCGGTGGGCAATCCATGGAGTCACATCAGTGACCGGCATTATACATGTGGGGTCCCCGTGCACGTTGCAAAACACGAGCGTTCGATTCAGGTCACTCGACGATCCACTGACTGGCGTTACGGTCGTGGGGTCCCCGTAGACGTAAAAGCACACGAGTGTTGGATTCAGGTCAGTCGACCATCCATGGGGTCACACCACTGACTGGCGTTACGGTCGTGGGGTCCCCGGTCACGTAGCAAAACACAAGTGTTCGATTCAGGTCATTCGACGACCCATGGGGTCACACCACCGACTGACACGGACGTGGGGTCCCCGTACACGGAACAAAACACGAGTGTTCGGACGTGGAGTCCCATACACGTATCAAAACACGTGTTCGCTTCAAGTCGGCACACCACTGACAGGCATTAAAATCATGCGGTCCCCGGGATGGGCACTCCAAAGAGTCTCACGGTAGTCTTTGGGGTTGCGCACGGGAGGAAGTCTCACGGTAAACAGTTTGTGGGGTTAGGCGCTCCAGGGAATGTCACGGTAGTCTCTGGGGTTGGGCACTCTCGGGAGTCTCACGGTAGTTTGTGATTTGGAGTCCAGAAAGTCTCACGGTAGTCTTTGGGCTGGGCATTCCAGGGAGTCTCACAGTCTCACGGTAGTCTGTGATTTGGGCACTCCAGGGTCTTTGGGGTTGGGCATTCCAGAAAACCTCACGGCAGTCTTTAAGGTTGTGCACTGCAGGGAGTCTCACAGCAATCCTTGGGGGGCCGCTTTCCAGGGAGTCTCACGGTTGGGCACTCCAGCGAGTCTCACGGTAGTCTCTGGCGTTGGGCACTGTATGAAGTCTCACGGTAGTTTGTCGGGTTGGGCATTCGAGGGAGTCTCACGGTAGTCTCTGGGCCAGGCAGTTTCTGGAAACCCGCGCGGCCTACCAAATGAGTTTACAGCACGGGTTTCTCTTGCGCGTGGCTTGGTTGTCGGATGTTGTTCGCAACATGACAGACGTGATGTAACAGTGGCCGGCTTGCCCAGAGATGACAGATGCCGGAGTCGCCGTTTGTGAAGGAATTTACGTTCGATATGAGTGGGGTGCCGAGTGATACGCACTCACAAAATGCTGAAATCGGCGAACGGTCTACTGGAATGCGCCCTTTTTCTATTGATTGGTTTCTCGTTCGATGTGATGAGAGCGACGGAGCAAGCAATTGCATGTTCTTGTTTTGCTGCCATGTCATGATGTCATGTTTTTCCCGAAGGCTTCACTTGCTCACCGCGGAGTTCATCTTTGCCCAGACCGTGCGAGACTTCACTTCTCGCAGTGTGCATCAGCCTAATTATCATGGCTCTTGCGTTTGCATAATGTTTGCATCAAGGACGGCTCGGTATTGATTTGGCCCGCAAATTTCCAACTGCAGCTTGGACCGTGCCGAAAGCTTAGCAGTCACAACGAAACACAATGAACGTTTGAATCAGATAGAATGGCTCTGAACCTCATATTGTGGCCGCCAGGTGCTGTTTTCCTGGCCATTGGTGGCACCTTGTCACTGCTATCTAGTTTCGTGCCTGCACCCAAGCCATTGTGAGTTGGACGAGCGCATCACTGTGCACCCAACACGGACGCAAAGCAGGCTGTTGAACTCCCATGCAGCGAAGCGGACACGAAAGGACCGATCAGCATGTTATGCCTTTCCGATTGCTTCTCCAACAGAACATGCAGGAAGATACCGTACAAAGAGTGCGACGACCCCCACTGCACCGGTCCAAGACATCCACTCGAGCCGCAGGTGAACTTCTCTTCGAGGCGGATCGGGGGGGAAATGATTCCGAAGCCGAGCGTGTGCCGTCCTCCTTTCAGTGTCAAGGATGGCTGCAGTTTGCGAGCCAAAGCCTCGTGGGATTTAGGATATCGTAGAGCAGATGGTGGGAAGGAGGGGCAGCGCGGCCAAAAGGCTTTGGACCCCTGGCCTCGGGTGGTAGGCGAGGCCAAAAGAGCTCTGGGTCTGTTGTTTTTTTGGGGGCCTCGCTGCCTCCAGCCTTCCAGACCAGGGAGCCAGAGCCCTTTGAGCTTGAAGCGAGGCATGCCGACAGGGTTTATGGCTTATGAGCTTCGGAAATGTCGAAGTTTAGGTTTCGGGCATGGGAACCCAGCGCGGCATCTACAGCTGTGCGCCTGTTGTAAAAGAGACTCCTGTGAGCCTGTGTT